ATACATACATACATACATACATACATATATATATATATATATATATATATATATATAATGTATATATATTACACAGCTGTGGGCACTACGCTTTTAGATTGCGTGAGGGAGCCAACAGAGTACTCATAAAAATCAAATTATAAACCCGACAGCATGAAATAAGTGGAATAGCCGGCTGGGCATCTCTTGAGATGCAACGATGTTTTTATACACGAAAGACATGCTCTGAATGATCCGTCTTTCCAAATGATGCGAATAGTTCAGCAATGAACACACGAAAGACCAAGCTATGGTATCAACATGCATCAGACAGCTTTAAAGATTCTTGAAGAAAAAAAATCCTCACCTCAGCATTCATCAGGGAGTTCTCGGAATAATCACTACCGAACACCACCAGTCCAATGAAGTCCTGTGCCCTGTAGCATATGCGCTGCTGTACCATCAGGCTGGCCATCAGTTGTGCTCGCACAAGCGCCGAGAACTTCTCACTCGGATGCAACGGATCATCCACCATCATCTCCATACGCCTACACACATCAACTAGTAGGACCACAGCATCCTTACTGCACAAGCCCGCCATTCTCAAGAGTTGAGATTCAATGCAATGCAAGTATGTGTATTTATATATTTATGCCTACTTGAATTTAGTTGGAATTTGGCAGTGGAGACCCAAGAGTGTGTCCCCCGACAGACACACAGGGTATATGTGAATAGTAGCTGCAGTAGTCCATAGAACACTCGTATCCAGAGCTCGGCTCGATTGAATTTACACACTATATTGAGAACAATAGTATAGGGGGGTATGTTTGTTGCTATATATATACGCAAGCAAATATAAAATACATAGGTCGATAATAATTGCCGTCTTATATTTATCTCAAGATATAATATATTTCGAGGTATAATATATAGGTCACCTATTTAACATGCACACAAAACAAAATAAATATGTATACTCGCTATCCCATCATTACTGCTGGTGATATACTGATATCAAACTTGTATCATAAATATATGCATTTATTTTTAGAGGTCATCTGCTCTCATGAAAAGTTGGATGCATATCATATATATCGTGTCAAATTGTCAATACATACTGTAGTAGCGGACGGTCGA